TAATTAAAAAAAATCTAATTAATTTAATATATTTATACGTTAAGTAAAAAGTTTTTGAACAAATATAATATATTTTTTAAAAGATAATATTTTTTGGTAAAAAAAGAACAATTCTTATTTTCCTTTTTTTCAAAAAACACATATTTAAAAAAAAAATATTAGCGAGATAAGTTGTGTTATACTAGTTTTATTGATATTGGTATATTAATGAATAATTTAGAATATTTTTAATTTATTTAATACATTTATTAAATAACATGTAAAATATCTAAATATTAAAGTTAAAAATACAATGTTTAATAAGAACTATTAGATTTTATAATAAAGTAATTTTGAAAGTACAATGATGTAGTAAGAAAGTTACATCACTATAGTACATGTGGACAGCCTACGTGGATAATGAGGTGATATGGAAACCTAGTATAATGGGTACATTTAAATTAAAAGGTTACCCAAATGTTACAATGGGTAAAATTTTCAAAGTATAATGTCATAAAAAATTTGTTTGAAAGTACATTGATGTAATAAGAAAAACTGAAAGTACAATGCTATAATAAATAAATTTATGAAAGTAGATTGCTATTTTGTGCATTTTGCTCTGTATAATAAAGCATAAAAACTCTTAAAAACCATTTTTATGCATGAAGTACTGTTTATTGATGCATATTACTTAAAATTCAACATTACAATTAAATTGTGTGTAAGTACAACTTATTAAATATGTTTAAGTTCGTGTAAGTAACTGCAGATAAACATAGTCAAATACAAAATAAATATTTTATTTTAAATATAAAAAATCTAAAATATAATTAGGATAATTATTGAGTTATAACAAAATATTTAATTATTATCCTTATTATATTATTAAATAAAAAATAAATTACTTCGTTACTAAATTTAAATAAAAATTATAATGAAAAATTGAATTAAAGAAATTACACAAAGAACAATAACTTTTTAAATAATCAATTTGATACTAATATTGATATATTTATTTTCGAAATTTTATGATATCTTTAAATTTATATTTTATTCAAACACAAAACATTATATTCTTAAAACCACGTAAAAACCATATTAAAACATTTACAGAGAAGGTCTGTCTTCTTTAAAAATAAATACGCTTTTTTGATCCTGCCCCGAAAGTTGGAGAATGATGATGGCCCATGGGTCAAGCAGGGGGACCAATTTGGCCCATTGATCTTTGGGATTTCCCTCCAAATCCAATGAACGAAATTTCCAATTCACGTTGGCAGTCGGTTTTCTGCAAAAAGAAGCCCTAATTTCCCCCCCTCAACGTTTCAAAAAGATGATAACAACGATTCAACTTCCGGAGACAAACGGTACGTTTTCCCCATCCCTGCAAGATCTCCAGAACCTTTTTGTAGTATTGCTTTTAGTTCCTTATGAATGGCTAATTTAGGGCTAGAATTTTGATTGTGCACAGCCATGCGATTATGTTCAAGTTGAAGAAAAACTGATGTCATATAGGGTTTTCTTGACGATAGTTTAAAGTTAAGATGCTTTTGGATGCATATAATCGATGAATATGATTTCTTCATTGTAATTTGGCGTTCTTCACAATTGGACTCATGGTGTTTGATAATATGGCTGAGAGAAGTAAAATTTGGTCTTATTTAGGATTGGCAAAAAGAAGAATTGTTTTCCTTAGTATTTGATGTCAACTGCTAGTTCTAGAGGGAGAAGATTGGATTTTATGGGGATTCAATCCTTGTATCTTTGAGTTTGAATTAAGGGAAGGGAAAAGAGGTAGGGATGGAGACCCCAGTTTCAGATGGTAGGGTATCAAAGAGGTTGTTGAGAAAGAAATCCCTATCTAGAAACTATGATGAGAATTTGATGGATGATTATTTGGAAAAGCAACTAGGTGGTTCTGTAAGGAAAAGGTTTAGAACAAAGAAGGAATTGGAGAAAGAAACTGAAAAAGAAGCCATGATAGCCCTTTCTTTAGGGTTTCCGATTGATGCGCTGCTTGAAGAAGAAATCGAAGCTAACGTAGTGAGTGAATTGGATGGGAAAGAACAAAATGATTATATTGTGGTGAGAAACCATATACTATCAAGGTGGAGGGCTAATGTACAGGCATGGCTTTCTAAAGGACAAATAAAGGAAACTGTAAGTAATGAATACGACCACTTGTTGCATTCAGCTTATGATTTTCTTTTGTTTAATGGGTATATAAATTTTGGAGTTTCACCACCATTCAAGGCTCAGATGCCCGAGGAAGCAACTGAGGGATCTGTAATAATTGTGGGTGCAGGACTTGCTGGGTTAGCTGCGGCTCGCCAGTTGTTAGCCTTTGGTTTTAAGGTCATTGTCTTGGAAGGTAGGAACCGACCTGGTGGAAGAGTTTATACCCAGAAGATGGGGCAAAAGGGTAATTATGCTGCAGTAGATCTTGGTGGCAGTGTTATTACAGGCATCCATGCGAACCCGCTTGGAGTTTTGGCTAGACAGCTTTCAATTCCTCTTCATAAAGTTAGAGATAAATGTCCCTTGTACAATCCAGAAGGGCAACCAGTTGCTAGGGAAATCGATTCCAAAGTAGAATTTATATTTAATAGGCTTCTAGACAAAGTTACCGAATTTAGACAAATTATGGGTGAATGTGCTACTGATGATATTTCTTTGGGTTCAGTTCTTGAGAGGCTTAGACAGTTGTATGCCGTGGCTACAACTACCGAGGAAAAACAATTACTTGATTGGCATTTTGCAAACTTAGAATATGCAAATGCGGGTTGCCTTTCTCACCTCTCCGCTGCCTATTGGGATCAAGACGATCCTTACGAGATGGGTGGTGATCATTGCTTTCTTGCAGGTGGGAATTGGAGGTTAATTGAAGCATTATGTGAAGGGGTTCCCATTTTCTACGAAAAGACTGTCCAAACAGTTAGATACAGTAATGAGGGTGTTGAGGTGACTGCTGGGGATCAAACATACCAAGCAGACATGGTCCTATGCACCGTTCCTCTTGGTGTTCTAAAGAAAAAGACCATTAAATTCATACCAGAATTACCCGAAAGAAAACTAGAGGCAATTGGGAAACTGGGATTCGGGCTGCTGAATAAGGTTGCTATGGTATTCCCTTATGTCTTTTGGGGGGAGGATCTGGATACTTTTGGCTGTCTTAGCAAGAATAGCAGTACACGTGGAGAGTTCTTCTTGTTTTACAGTTATCATACTGTTTCGGGAGGATCGGTTCTTGTTGCATTGGTTGCTGGTGAAGCTGCAAGATCGTTTGAATACACACATCCATCCACTTTGCTTCATCGTGTTTTAAGCATCCTCAGAGGTACTACACATCTCTAAATAGAAGGTGAAAATTTTCAATATATTTCTTGACCACTCTCCCTTTAGCGTGGTCTCTTTCTTCGCGAGCTTTCCCTAAGTCTATATTTTCGCTTTTTTTCCCTTTTAAATTTCCACAGGTATATATGGTCCAAAGGGTATTGATGTACCTAATCCCATCCAATCTATTTGTACAAAATGGGGAAATGATCCCCTTTCTTACGGTTCATACTCTCATGTAAGAGTGCACTCTTCTGGTAGTGATTATGATATACTTGCAGAAAATGTGGAAAACCGGCTTTTTTTTGCTGGTGAAGCCACAAATCGCCAACATCCGGCCACCATGCACGGTGCTTACTTAAGTGGCTTAAGAGAAGCTTCATGCATTTATAGAGTCGCAAAGGGTAAGCAAACGCAAACTCATCCTAAGAAAAGCATTCGGAAAATTGGTGGAGTGAGTGATATTCTCGTAAATCTTTTCAAGAAGCCGGATCTAGCTTCTGGGAACTTCCTTTTTGTATTTGATCCTTCGACTGACGACCCTAAATCAATGGGGCTTATGATGGTTGCTATCGATAGTTCTGGTAGTGAGTTATGTAACGATAACGGGAAGGTCAACATTAGTCAACATTCTGACAAGCAACCCATGAAGCTTTACACGATTGTATCGCGTGTACAGGCACAAGAGTTGCAATCTGTGGTAGGACGTGGCGAGTGTGGATTAACATATTTGTCAAAAAATCTCGGGTTGAAACTAATGGGATCAGATTGTTTTACCCTCTTAGCGAATTCCTTGATTTCATACATTGCTACAAGAAGAGGCAGGCTCAGAAATCGGGTAGTTTACGGAAACCATGTTTCATACACATGATGATTCATTAATGAATACTTGGAACTTCACATCTTCTTGTTGTAAGCATGCATACTTCTGGGACATGAAATTTGGCTTTTCGGGTGCGCCCTTTTGTTCTTATATCATGGCTGCTGAAAGTGTCGGGTTATCGTATGATTCAGAAAAGTCAACTTTTGAGGTCTGATTCTGCATTGGATTCAGCTGCAACATCTATTTGGTAAATCACTTAAACAGCAGAAGCTTGGTTGAGTGAGGATGATTCATTAATGAATGAATGAGTGACCTTTTGCATAGAATGGTGGTAAGTTTTATGTATACTAGCTCATGTGCATGACTTTAGTTTAGCATCTCTTTGATTTTTGCTTCCAAGTGTAATCACCCTTGTAAACTACATTTTTCTTCTTCTTCTGTTAAAGCATTTGGGTGAAAAAGATGACACAAATATCGTGAACATTAACCATCTAACATATCCTCGTTGCTTTTTGTTATAGATTCTATTAGGGGTTGCTCGACAGTTGCCGAATGATTTGGTACATGATGATTAAGTCGTCGGAATGATTAAAAGGCTCTTATAAAATAGTGTACAATAAAATATGGTTGTTTGGTTATTGTTCGGAATGAAATTAGGGCGTCAAATGGTTCCGGGAGGCTCAAAATACAAAATCATTCAGAGGGTTTTACAATCATTAAGAGACATATCTTTTTTTGTCAAATAAAATTCACCTTTTAACGATTCAGAGACTGTCCATACAATTATTAAGAGGAAAACAAATAATCCCTTAATCTAACTATTGGGAGAGAATAAAAAAGCTTGCTTCAAGATAATTGCTAAACCATATGTAAAAATAAAGAAATGACCAAACAAAATGTAACATTTTCCGTATTTTAAGAATTTTGAGGAGAGAAAATACATTTCATTAAAATTATATGCTTATAGAAAAATCGTTTGAAATTTTGTTAACGATTAAATTAATTTAGAATCTTACTGAGTAATAAAGTAAGATTTGAGAAACGTAAAATATAATCTAGATTACTGATATTTTTCAATCTTACCTTCAGCTCATGAATTGTGTTTATCATTGAATTTGATCAGATGTATCTCGATATACTGTATTAATGTTGATCTAACTATGATTGACTTAAAGATAAAGATTCATTCTTGCTTCTCCCATTATAACTTGCATTTTCATCAGAACCAACCCAAAAATATTTAAATAAACTAGAAAGATACTCGCACAATGCAACGAGATTCTTCAAGATAATGTTTCGTTTTATTTTTTGTCTCTGTCGATATAATACAGTTCTATGAGATTTTGTGAAACCGATAATGTTTATATTCATAAAAAATTGATTTTTTTTATACAAGTATCAAATTAACTGTTTAAAAATTCTCGTTCTTTATGCAGTTTTTTTAATTCAATTTTTATTATTATAATTTAATTTATGTTTAATAATGAAGTAATTTATTTTTGATTTAATAATATAATGTTTATAAGGATGATAATTAAGTATTATATTATAAGTGTAACTCAATTATTATTATTATTATATTTTTTATATTTAAAATGAGATATTTATCTTCTATTTGATTATGTTTATCTACAGTTAGTTATACAAATTCAAACATAAATTTTTAATAAATTATAATCATGTAGAATTTAATTGTAATTTTGAATTTTAAGTAATATGCATCAATAAATAGTACTTAACGTATAAAAAACGAGTTTTAAGAATATTTGTCAAATATTTTATAATATAGTATAGATAATTAAATATAATTTTTTTTGAAATTATAAAATTGAATCAAATAAATTAATACAAAATCTTAACATAAATATTTGATAAAAAGGGGAAGAAAGTATGAGACCGCCAGAAGGTGAGGAAAGATGGCGGCGATCTTATCCTTCGCTGCATCTCCGTCTAATTTCAGAACGATTAACAATTCAAGTAGAACAGCAGTTCCATTGCAGTCAAGTTCTCGAATCTCCATAACTAATCACCATCAACATTCTGCTAATTTGTTTGTTCCTGAGGTTCGTCTTTCTACACTGCTAATATTACGCTGTTTGAAATTCGGTTTACGTTTTCATGCAATTAAGGTTTTATTGTCATTATGATTTTGATATAGAATTCAACAGAAGTTTCTGTAAATATATTGTTCATCAGATTTGGAACTTATTCTGTCATCAAATACTTACAAGACTGGATCCTGATTGATTTTCTGTAAAAATAAATGAGATATTATGGGTGAAATTCGTTGGGGATTAGGTGTTGAACAACACGCGTTAGATTAGTTAAAATTGATGATTGTGGGAAATTTTATTATGAAGAATGAAGTGTAGCATTGTAGTTGAATTTCTATCAAGTGTCCAAATAAAATTCCCCAAAAAGATGATGTAAATATTGATTTAAAAGTTGAATAACACGTTTATATCCATGGATGACCGTAGTTTTTCTTGTGTATATAGCTTTTCATTTCATAGAATATCAGTTGATATTGTGAAAATATGCGAAATCCTATTAGATACTCTCTAAAAGAGCCAAATAGGAGATAAGGGAGGTTCCAACCTATATAGAGTAGAAGAAATGGTCCAATAGCCGATGTGGGACTCTAACACGCCCTCCAATGGAGGCTAGACAAGCACATATTATCTATCTCAGGGTGTTGAGAGGGGGCTAGACAAGTGAGAGGGTTAGATGAGTACATGTTGTCTTATAGTGTTGTCCCTAGAGTGGTAGACCATGGGTCTGGTACCATATGAGAATATGTGAATCCCCGCTAGATTACTCTCTGAAAGAGCCCTATTGGAGAGAACGGAGGTTCCAACTTATATAGAGAAGAAATTGTCCAAGTATTGCCGATATGGGACTTTAACAGATATGATAAGTTGGGTAAAGTAGTTGGCTAAGGGTGGGGATGTATAGCTAGTGTAGTAGGTTGAGGATGGAAGATAAGGATAGTGAGTTGGACTAGGGGTGTGTGTATTCTTACCTTGGTTATGTTCTTCTTGTACCTGCTCCTATTTGTTTGTAATTCCTTGCTCTTAACTAGTTTTTCACTTTTTTTTCTTCCATTTCTGCATTTCTTTCTTTCATACTTTTCACAATCCGGAGGTCTTTTACGGAAACAATTGCTTTACTCTGTCGGGGTAGAGATCTGGTCTGTGTACACCTTACCCCAAGACCCCACCTTCGGGTGAGACATACTGTGTTCATTTCGTTTGGTTATGATAAATTGGCATCGGCATAAAAATTCTTTTTTTGTTTTCTATTACTCAGTTTGTGATGTGGTAGATTTGGGGCTGTTGGTCTTTGAATTCAGGTTGAAAGTGCAGTCGATACCTTGTATCCAGAGTTCAGGGCTGTGGATAATCTTGTGGCATGCAATACTTCTCGAGTTCTCAAAGCTTTTCAGAATGCCAGGGTCGGATCTCATGTATGAGGATTTATGTTCACTTTAAACTGTTGATAAATTCTGAATACAAATAAAGAATACACATGTCAATCACTGTATTTTCAATTTAGTGACTTTTATAATCTGGCTTCCTAATACATTTCCGTCATGATATTGATTTTTAGCACTTCAGTGGTTGCACTGGTTATGGCCATGAAGAAGCCGGGGGTCGAGAGGCCCTCGACCAGGCTTTTGCTGAAATTTTTGGTGCTGAATCTGCAATCGTTCGATCACAGGTGCTTACTATTTGTAGTCAGTCATCTGTTTCTCCTACCATTTTTGGGAATAAAAATCACCTATCCCCAAATCTCATATCATTAAAGAGAATATAAAAATGAGTTAAATGAATATATATTATATAAAATAATGATGTGTCTCATTTTAATTGGTGGGACAGAGAGGAGACATGGTATTTGTCGATTTAGGGACGTGATTTTATTCCATTTTTCGAATGTGTTCAATTTACTTAGTATACTTCATTTCAGTTCTTTTCAGGCACTCATGCTATTACCTGTGCCCTGTTTGCTTTCTTAAGGCCAGGTGACGAGGTAAGTGTTCATCTTCTTTTCATCATCATACTCTTTGAGAACCCATAACTCGTAATTTATTCATTTAGTTGTTAGATTGATTTCTTGAAGGAGTTCCCATCTTGTCCTCTGGAAGCTGCGGAACTATCTTAGAATGTGAGAAATAAAATTGAAAGTTCTGTAAAATCTTGTTTTGGAGCAACATTAGCCTGTAAGTGGGATAAAATTGCATTTTTTCTGTCTCACCACAATAGATGGAACAAACATGAGGGAGATGAGATAAGATTAGTAAATTTCTAAACTACCCATGTCAAATTAAAACTCTAAACCCTTCTAGAATTCTCACATGCCTACCACACTCTCTCCCGTCCAGTCCTGTCTGGTACCATCTGAGCACCAAACGCACCCTTACAATGCCATCGCCTGCATATTTGAAAAGGTACATAGGAGAAAAGAATAAGGTCAACACAACTCAATAGGTTATAATGTTATATGCATTGACCCAGGCCCAAACCTGTTAATAGGATACATATTCTAGAAGGGGTAGTTTTGGTATTGGGTCTATTATGACTGTTAATAAATAGGGGTGAAGTGGGAGAGTGGAGGCATGAGAGAATATATTGAGTTTGTTCTTGGAAGAGTCTAGCCTCTCAAATATGACAAGATTGCACGTTATGAATCAAGACAGTCGAACAACATGACGGTTATTCATGAATTGTTAGTGGAGAGAACTTATCTTCAAGTTGATCTTAAAAGTTCAGAAAATGAAAAGATTGTTTTAGCTAAAAGCAATCTCGAGCTTAAAGAAAAGATTTCTAGTATTGAGAAAGGATTTGAAAAGAAAAGAACAGATTTGGAAAAATCTTTGAAACATGAAAAATCTGTTTTACAGAAAACCATTCTGGATCTTTCGAAAAGGATTTCTGATAGTGAGAAGAGGTTTGAGAAAGAAAGATCTCCTATCCTTCTCTTGTTAATTGAAGCATTCAACTACTATTTTTCATTATGAGTTGGTTTTCTTCATCCGGTTACCAGCTTTTGGCAGTTGCTGGTACTCCTTATGATACATTGGAGGAGGTTATAGGAATCAGGGATGGAAATGGATCAGGTTCCCTGAAAGAATTCGGGATCAAGTATCGAGAAGTTGCAGTAAGTTGCTCTTCACGTTTGCTTCAATTTGTATGCGTTACTTCTAACATATAGTCGCAAATTCTTAAGCATACGTTGTTTCAGCTTGCAGACGATGGAGGACTTGATTGGGATGCTCTTGAGGTCGCTCTGAGACCTCAAACAAAGTGTGCCCTCATACAAAGATCATGTGGGTATTCTTGGCGTCGAAGTTTAAGCGTGAACGAAATATCAAGGGCAATAAACATGATCAAGGTTTGTAATATGCTTTTATCTTGTTCAAGCACTGTAACATCAGACCGACCGTACCCGATATTATCCGCTTTGTCCACACTTGGATTCACGGTTTTCGAACGCGCCTGATAGAGGAGGTATCTAATCCCTTATAAGACAACCTTCTCTCCCCTCCCCAACGGATATGGGATCTCAGAATCCATCCTCTTGGGAGTTCGGAACCTGGGACCTATGGGTTGGGGAGGGGAATGGAGGTTGTCGTATGACGGACTGGATACCTCCTCTATATGACGCGTCTTAAAACTGTGAGTCCAAGTGTGGACAAAGCAAACAATATCTGGTACGGTTGGCCTGCGATGTTACAAGCATGTAGTTCCTCGACATTTGTTGTTGAACTTCTTTCAAACCAAAGCAACCCGGTATATCCCACCGAGAGGTGGAGTCGGGGGGGGGGGGGTGAGATGCACGTAGACGTGACCTCTACCTCGAGGACAAGTAGTAGAATGTGAAGACCCCGACTTTTGTGGAAAGTGCACGAAAAGAATGGATAAAAACTTGCTCAAATTCTTTTCCTGTGAAAGAACATAAGAAGTTTAATAAAAAATTATGTTTATTATGTATGTTATTACAGACACAAAATCCAAATTGTATGGTTATGGTGGATAATTGCTATGGTGAATTCACAGAAGCGATTGAACCTACTATGGTGGTATGTTGTCTTTTATATATTTATTTTGTTTGTTTGAAACCAATCATGTTTTGGTGATAACGGATAAACAGGGTGCGGATCTTATTGCAGGAAGTTTAATTAAAAATCCAGGTGGAACGATTGCCCCCTGTGGTGGATACGTTGCAGGTAAAGATAAATGGGTAAAAGCAGCAGCAGCTCGGCTCTCGGCACCAGGCCTTGGGGTCGATTGTGGCTCGACTCCTGGTGACATTATGCGAACATTCTTTCAGGGATTATACCTCTCGCCTCAAATGGTCGGGGAAGCATTAAAGGTAAAGGGGGTCATCCTGTTTTATGTACTTCTTTTTGGGTAGCCATGGTATCCTGATTAGCTTGCTCGCACTTCGACTAATCCCAGGACCCTCAAGATAGCAGCCAAGAAAAATTCCCAATGGCCCTGAGGAGATTTGATCTGGTGACCTATGGAGATTAGGACAGAGGTAGACCTAGGAATTTTTTCTAAATGGTGGCACCATTTGAATATAAGAAACGAAGCTATGGATATTTTTCACAAAATCATTATTGGTCTGTTGGTAAGTTTCTTGCTTTTCATATAGTTCGAGTCTTTTTTTTGGAAGGGTGGCCCAGACTATGCCTCGACTAATCCCGGCAAACTATGACTGCAAGAAATCAGCCCTGGTAAACTCGGTGGCCATAATTGTTGTGTACTCCTAGAATAGAACTTTGGACATATGGGATGTTCGACCACATCCTCCAAGGCCTCAACCACTATGCCACAACCCTTGTGGTTTTGTGTTCGAGTCTTTTATCCCAAAATTTTCATAAATATAATAAAACTGAAATTAAAGCTAAAAATTTAAGAAAATGATACAAATGAAACTCAAACCCGCTTTTGGAAGGGATGAAAGACCGTGCAAATCAACTCTGCCAAGAGAAACTTGTGTTACTATTATAGTTTCGAAATATGTACGGTTGCACCTTTCACGACCCTAATGTTTTTACACTATGACGGAAGAAAGAAATGGTGGACCGTGCCACCGTATGCACCATTGTGGGTCCCCTTGGACTGGGGAGTGGGCTTATCTGGCAGTTGAGTTGGTCCTCAAGGTTCTTTTGTTTTACGGAATTCTATTACTTATTGATGGTTCTTTTGTTTTACGGAATTCTATGACTTATTGATGGTTCTTTTTGTTTCGTTGTTACAAGGGAGGCTTATTGATTGCTGAAGTTATGTCCACAAAAGGTTACAAGGTCCAGCCACTTCCACGAGTCCCCCGTCACGACATAGTACAGGTTTACCATGTGGATTATATCATCTATGGATAAATTGCATCAAAATACAACGAAATTTAGTGTAACAAAGATTTTTTTTCTCCATCAACTTAATGAAGTTTCAAAATTTCTTATTTTGTACCAGCTCCTGCCGATCTTGTAACATCTGATGAAATGAATGGCATGTTTATTGTCCATTTTGCATGACCCTTCTGTAAACTTTTCATAAACGGGCATCCATGTCATCAAATGTCATAAAATCTAGGGAAGAGAAATTGACTGCTTAACGTTTGAAAGAAAATGAAATAAAACTTGTTTCTTTGGATTTGCAGGCTGTACAACTTGGAACCCGTGAACGGCTCCTTGCTTTCTGTGAAGCCGTACAAAGAAGCTCACCAGTAAGCTCTTATACTAAACCGATTGCAGGTTCAACACCTGGGTATGCGTCCGAGGTGATCTTTGCCGATGGGACGTTTATAGATGGCAGCACAAGTGAGCTCTCGTGTGATGGTCCGTTAAGGGAGCCATTTTGCGTTTTCTGTCAGGTTCTCACTTTTCTCTCGTATTGTTGTCATCTTTTTGATGACCGAAAGATCTAGAAATTTGCAAACATAAATGGATTGACGTCTGTATGCTACCTCTTAAACAGTCGCTCGGTTGTTGAGGGTCTTTATGGAAACAACTGCCCTATTCTTTCAAGAGTAGAGGTCAGATCTGCGTAGATCCAACCCTGCGACCCCACCTTCAGGTGGGATATTGATGACATAAACTATTAGGGTGCGTTTGATACACTGAACATGACAGAATAGAGATCATTGTTCCACGTTTACATGTCTTTTATGTGGAACAGACAAGAACAAAGTGGAACAGGCGTGTTCCACCCCAACCCCATGGAACAAGATGGAATACGTCTTTCTTTATATTTTATCCATTTTTAAAATTATAATTATTGTATTTTATCCTCTTTGAACTTTCATTTTGCGGTTCTCAAAATATTATTTTTATGTGTTTTCTATATTTTGGTTAATTTATGTAATTTATCAAATATTAATAATAATAAAAATATATAGAAAAGGTATGAAGTAAAAGTTTGGAAATTAATAAACTTCATATTTTGGTGTCATTTTAATCGTGTTGACAAAAAAAGTTTCTAATGATATATTTTGTTCTAAAAATTATTATTTTATTATAATTTAATAAATTAATTAAAATATAGAAATGATATAAGCAACTCATTAGGAGTAAATTGGTCATTTTATCTTTTTCTATTCTGTTCAGTCATGTCTTACCAAATGCCGAATAGTCGTACTGTTTGGATGCCAAACGCACCTTTAGAGATGATTCTCTAGAATATTCTGTTCTACTAGTTGTATGTATTTAGGTCTAAATTTGAGGATCTTTGTTGTACATATCCCACTGTGATTTTATCTATAGATCAGAAATTTTCAATCTTTATTAGATAAATGGGATTTGTACAACAAAGACCCAGTACTTTAGGCCTGGATATATACAACTAGAACAAAATAATCCAAGGGATTGTCTCTAATAGTTTATACGTTATCCGATGTCCTGGATTTGTTTTGTTTGGTTTGGTTTATGGTACCTCTTAAACAGTCTTTCTGGTACGACTACAAATAATGATCTTCAGTTTCTTGAAAATTCGTAATGCAGGGTGGCACTCATTGGACTCAGTGGGGATTAGTTCTAGGCGAAGTTTTGAAGTCGTTGTAGGATTGATACAAAAGGGTGAGAAAAGAGTTTGTTCGACACTATATATTTCTTAGACTGGCGGATGCAGACCGACCTGGACTTCTTTATGGACCGTATTGACCAGACCGGATATTTTAGGACCAGTCTGTGTCCACCTCTATTTTGTATTGTTTCAGTGTATATGATATTTGAAACCCTTGGATTAATTTTTGTATACTGCTTTTCAATGAATTTGATATTTAAATATGACGTTTTCTGGAATGCTTGTTACTTTTGTCACATTGTGTGCTCTTCATTGCTGTCAATGGTGCTTTGCTAATGATTTTTGAATAACTTGAAACCGTTTAGCCTGAACATTTACCCGGTAAACATTTAGTGGTAAATTTCAACACTATTATTTAATTACCGGGTAAAATTTTAGTCAACAAAAACGGTTTTCTATGCAACAATTTACCCGGTAAGAGTTGACTGTAGTAAGAGTCATTGTCTTTATTTATCGGGTAAAACTCTTGGTTCTTGCCTCGTTTTTATTGGGTACGATTCTTGGTACTTGTCATATTCATTCGGTAAGGTAATATAACATTAATAAATGTTTACCGAGTAAGTATTTTGCCCTAAATTTGGTTGAGATGCGTTATTCGATTGTGGATTTTGTTGATACCTTCAATCACTGGAATTGATTAGTGAATGGTCGACTGGGGTTATCATAAATGGAGATCTGTCCAATGGGTCCCACATATCACGTTTTGTCTCCAGAATACTTGTATTTTTTAAATTATTGGGCCTCCTCCACACCACCAATTACATCCCCCAATCTTGTAAATACATGTTACAAAGACAAAATAAAACCAATATAAATTATTTATAAAAACAATTTATTAATTTATGTTGATATGATAATAATAATAAATATTTTTAAATGTCTGGATAAAGAGTTTAAACCTGTCAAACTAGTAATAAATTTAAAAAAAAAAAAATTAAACTATTTTAATTTATAATAAATTAATAAGTGCTTTTATTGAAAAACTCCTTAGCAATCCTAAACCTCATTTAAATTAATAAATATATATATATATTTATTTATATATCCTCCTCGATATACTCGTGCCCACCTCTAGTACTGTATACAGAAACAAAAAAAAAAGAAAGCAGGCAGGCAGCACACTTCTTCGATTCACCGATTCTTTTCAATTGTAAGGTACTATTTTCTTTGTATTTTGGGAACTTTCCTTCTTTCTTGTTCAAGTTTGGAAAGAAAGATCAAGAACGCAGTTTACAATCTGTCTTTGGCTCCGATCTTTATGTGCTAAAGATCCATCAATCTTGATTCTCCAGCTTTTTGGTAGTTATTTTCTTGATTACTGTTTAAATCTGTGCTTCATTCTGTCTGAATATATACATACATACATATATATATATGATATATATATATGTGTGTGTGTGTGTGTGTGTGTGTAGTCAACTCTATTCAACTTAGTCGCCATTAACAGATCGTAATTTCTTGGAAGTTGAACCTATGTTTCCCAAAGATGCCCCTTTTCTGGATGTCCTCATTCGAATTCATTTTCAACTTCGTCTTCTAGAAACTTCCCCAATTTGTGCCAAGATTATTGTGGGTATTTGATTACATATAAGATAGAAATTGGGAACTGGAAGGTTATATGAGTTTCTGTTTGGTTGGTTTTCTATTAAATTGGATATGGATTAATGTGTATATGGATTAATGTGTATGTATATGTTAGGAAGGTTTTTGTTTGGAGGTTTTTTTCTATAGATGGGATGAGGGTGTTTTTTCGTGTGGAGAGAAAAAACTTGGCTTTCTGCATAAAGCTCTCCTAGAAACTTACTGACTGAATTAGTTTTGAGTCTCGTTAAGCTTATTAAGCTGCTAACAAACATGCTCTTTAATAAGGTTATTGTTTGTGAAATGGAAATCTTTATGCAGGTCTGCTTCTGATATTAGGATCGGTTAACGTTGGAGAACTTGAGGGATGACTCATAAACAGGAGACTTTGATTGGTTCTGGAATCTGTGTGGCGATTTCAGTCCTCTTATCATTGAAGTTGGTTCGTGATCATCTTTCTAACTGGAAGAAACCCAAGGAGCAAAAGGCGATCATAGTGATCATCCTCATGGCTCCCATTTATGCTGTTGATTCGTATGTCGGGTTGGTTGATATTCGTGGTAGTGAGACCTTTTTCGTGTTCTTGGACTCGATCAAAGAATGCTACGAGGGTCTGGTGAGAACCAAAAACTTCTCTTATGGCTATGCACTTCTGTGATTTTCTTCAAGAGTCTGTTAGAATCACGCTCTGTTAGATTTGGACCATTTGTTCTGATCATCTGAGAACTCCATATATTATGATAACCATGATAACTTTTGTTATAAGGTATTGTTTCACATGATTTTTTCTCATTTAATGTATTAATGAACATATATGTGTTTCACAATGTGTTTGCTTCATATGTATGCGGTTCACAATGTGAAACTTTTTTACGTGTAACTTTTGTTTTGCTGTACAAACAAGCTAAAAAGGTTAACATTGTGAAACAAATATATGTTAATCTATAGGCTAAATTCTACTTTAGCTGGAAAAAAATCATATGAAATATCACATGATGCACTAGTTCTCAAGGTTATCACAGTTTCATGGGTTCTCTAAAGAAAGTCCCCCACTATATATATATATATATGTTGGAACCTCCCTTTCTCTCTTCAAGAATGGTAATCCAAAGGGGTTCCACATAATTACCACTCTAGGGACTCGACACTCAGGAGAAACTTTCTTCGTCTAGCCCCCTCTCTGCACTGGGACAATTTGTGCCCATCTAGCTTATATTGGAGTGGGCGTGTTAGAGACCCAGATCGGATAGACTTGGACAAAGACTCTTTTGGAGAGTAATTTAATGGGGTTCCACATATTCTCACAGAGGTCCATGATTCTTTCAAGAAACTAATTTTATTGTTTATGAAATGTGCAGGTGATGGCCAAGTTCTTGGCTTTGTTGTATACCTACTTGAATATCTCTATAAGCAAGAACATAGTCCCGGATGAGATCAAAGGAAGAGAGATTCACCACTCGTTCCCGATGACTCTCTTCCAAGTAAAGTTATTTGCTTTCGGTTCTTTTCTCATTTTCGGCTGCATTAGAAAACAAACAAATTTGTTGTCTTTAGCATTGTTATATGGCATGTTTGAAGTTTACATGAAGCCCATGTTTGTCGACTGTAAGCTAGCTTATTTTTTGAGTTCACTGAAAAACCCCTGTTTGGTTGCCCGTAAGTTACCTTATAAGCTAGCTTTTTGAACCACAAGGGTGGTGCCTGATTGGTTTGAGTTTGGCTCCAAAGGTTAAAAGTACCATGAGGTCCCAGGTTCAAATCCAAGGAGGAATAAAAATCTCCTTGTGGCCACGGAGGTTCAAACGCGGTGACTCCGGGCTATCTGCAAAGCAGGTGGTCGCCCTAGGATTAGTTGGCTCGCATAGCGGGTTGGATATCCAGGTTAATTATAAAAAAGTTACCTTATAAGCTAGCTTTTTGAAAAACTATTTCAAGCAGTAAATAAACTTCAGGTTTTTTCTTCCAATTATGCCCCTTGTATCATTTCCAATAACTTTACAACATAACTTTTTAGGTAATTTGCATCGTCATCTAACTTATCAACCGGTTTTACCAAAGATGACTAGTTTATCAGCCAACTTATTAGCCAACAGTTAGCGTAGCAACTAATTTTTACCAAACATAGCTTATTAGCTAGCTTGTTAGCCAACAGTTAGCTTGCCAAACATAACCAAAGTTCATAGGCAACATTACTGACTTTTTTTAACGATTGATTGCAGCCGCACTCCGTTCGTTTGAATCATCAGAACCTGAAGCTTCTTAAGTATTGGACATGGCAGTTTGTCGTGATTCGCCCTGCCTGTTCGGTCTTGATGATAGTTCTACAACTTCTCGAGATATATCCCGATTGGCTTAGCTGGACGTTCACTATGATCTTGAACGTATCGGTTTCGTTGGCATTATACTCCCTCGTGGTTTTCTACCACGTATTTGCTAAAGAATTAGCACCACACAAACCTCTTGCCAAGTTCTTATGTGTGAAGGGGATTGTCTTCTTTTGTTTTTGGCAGGTAAAACTTAAATCTTTGAATTTGAATCTTGAATTGCTGCTCCTAAACATTTCTAAACCATGATTAATCTCATTTCACATGTTGATTAGATGTTCTTAAGGGTGTGTTTGGTATCCAGACAGGTTAGGACAGGACTTTGTTCAGTGTTTGGTAAAACAGAACTAGATATGATAGAACAGATAAAATGATCAATTTACCCCTAATGAGTTGTTTATATAATTTATTAAATTATAATAAAATAAATATTTTTTATAACAAAATATATCATTAGAAATTTTGCGTCAAGATGATTAAAGTGATACCAGAATTAAAATTTTATGCAATTTCCAATTTTTATCTTATACCTTTTCTATCTTATTTTTTATTATTAAATATTTAATAAATTACATAAATTAATCAAAACATAGAAGCTGTATAAAAAACAATATTTTGAGGACAGTTTAAAGAACATAAAATACAATAAAATAAATTTCAAGAATGAATAAAAAGCAAAGAGAGGCATATTTGATGTTTTAGAAGATAATTAGGTTTTATTTTGAGGTTATATTGATATAATATATGTTTGTTTCATCTTGTTCCATGGAGTGGGGGTGGAACACGCCTGTTCCATTCTGTTCCTGTCTCATTCCACATAAACGTACCGCCATAGATAGAGCAGTGATCTTTGTTATGTTATGTCCACTGTATCAAACGCACCCTAAGTGATTCTTTGCAGGGGATAATCACAAAATTGGAGCCGACCCATCGCAAAATAACCAACTTTTGTGTAACTAGCACAAAATAACCACCTATTTTGCAAAAGTCATGACATATATTATCAGGTTTATGGGCCCACTTCGCAGAAAGGGTGAGCAAATTTGGGGTTTTGCTTATCCTTTATGCAAAGTGGGCCCACACACTGAAAAGGTGTTGCTAGCAAGAAAAGGGTTTTTGTGATACAGGCCGTTATTTTGTGCTAATTTGGGAAAAGTTGGTATTTTTTGTGACAAGTCAACTTCAATCTTGGCTCGTTTTTGCAAATTATCCCTTCTTTGCAGCGTTTAATCTTGGACTTTCTTGTATGATTATTTGCAGGGAATCGTTCTTAGCGGTCTCGTGGCAATGGGCATAATCAAATCGAATCATTTTTGGCTGGATGTGTCGCACATCCAGCAAGCGTTGCAAAACGGATTGGTGATCTTGGAGATGGTGTTTTTTTCGATCTTTCAGATGTATGCATACACTGCTGCACCATATAAGGATGCCGATGTGAAACAAAAGAAGAGTGATTGAGAACGAGATGTCGATCAAGATGCGATTTTTGGGCGTTACGGAGGTACCAATTTGGAGTTTATGTATGAACTTAGAAGCATATTTGTAATAAATATTGGTTCCCTCTTAAGGGGATTGTATTTGGGTATGATCTAAAAGGTATTGATCTTGAATGAAGAGTGCTTAATGGTTGTCTCCTCCCACTGTTCTACAATGGTTTGATGATGTTATGATTGCTATCTGATTTCAGCATCTTATTTAACTCCTTACAGGATCACTAAGACCTGCTTGTTAGCGGCTTAATGAGCCTCACAACTTCAGATATACATGATTGTGTGGCAGTGACTGAAAGCTTTATGCAGAAAGCCAAGTTTTTGTCAAACTTGCCTCTCCTAATTATAAAACATGCTCCTTCTATCTATGAGCAAGAACTCTTCCAAACAAAAAGTTTGCCAATCTATACAGACAAATTAGTCCAAGCAGACAACTTTGTCCATGTAGGGCTTAATGAAAAACCAACCAGACAGCTCCTTACCTTATTAGATGAACATGACAAGGACCAAAAATCTTACCCGTAAGAGTGATGACAAGGACCGAGAGTCTTACCCGATAAGTGAGGATGACGACTCTTGTCCAATTAGCAATTACTGGGTAAATTGTTGCATGCTACGCCGCTTTGATGGATAGATGAGGTAAGCGCTTACTAAATAAGCATTTGGTAAACGACCCCTTATACTCTCACAAAGTTATGCAAAATTGGGGCTCCTTTTTCGATAGGTCGCTGATTCGAGTTTGGCTATGGGATCAATAAAAGGTGCTCTCATATTGGTTTGTTTATGTATGTCAAAACTGTGTATAAGAACATCCCCAATAAATTCTTTAAAATACAAAAAATGAGGTATTTTGTTCTCTATTTTGTTCAAACAGGTTCTTTATATTGCTCGTAACAGATAAGAACCTCGATTATTATATATGAATTTTTTTAGCTAATTGATATATTATACGGTAAATACTTATACGGTATAAATCTGATAAACGGTTAAACTCTAATTCTAACGGTAAAAATCAAAAGCTACCGTCAAAGGGACTGTTCTACCGTTAACAGTCGACATGCTATTAGCTCAGCCAAAAGAAAGCTAGAACAGATGAAGGTTATATATTTCTTCAAGAATCCGGAAGATCCCCTTTCTCGTTATCCCTTTTCGACGAACCATGATTTTTATCCAATTTTCATAAACCCTTTTCACGTTCACTATGATGTCGACGATAATCCCACAAATTTGTTAATCTGGCGTTTAGCACACAATTGAAACCAACAATATGGAAATGAACTGACTTGTTATTAACTGGTAGCTAGATGGGCTTTAAATAGCCGTACAATACAAAGAGAAGTAAAGAACGTGCAACCTAACAAACTAAGATAAAAATGGACTCATCCTAAAGAATAGGACTTTATTTAACAACCTGTTTACCAAGTAAACAGAGACTTGGTAAACCTTATGATTACCCCAACAAAATTGTCACCAAAATCACAGATTATAAAACCCCAAAACGAATAACCTTTTACCCTACAAAATCACCAGAACCCACGAATTCTTTCGCGAGGAGATACGTTTGTTGTTATCATCGACAAGTGTTTAATGTTGGTTTTAATTCCAGTAGTAAATTGTCATTGAGCGAAGGTAGATATCGGTTTGATGACAAGATAACGAAGAAGAAGAACAAGAGGGCAGTTCTTGTAAGGTTTAATAATCTTGGATTCAATGGTGGTGCCGGCGGCGGTGGTGGTGGAGGAGACGACGGCAGCACAGGAAGGGTTTTGGGTAATCTTGCTTTGGCTGTTGGCCTGACTTATCTTTCATTCACCGGCCAACTTGGTTGGATACTTGATGCCATTGTTTCCGTTTGGGTATGTTTCTTTTATGCTCTGTGTTTTCATTATGTTTATACCCAAATTCAGACTCCGTTTTTCATTTCTATATGTTTGATTAGGGTTGCTCGAAACCCAACCAACCTAAAACGAAATAACCCAAGCCGAAGCAACTTGATGTCTAATTGAATTGTAAAATCTTTAAGTTGTAGGTATTGGGTTGTAATTGGATTACGGTTATTTGAACCTAACCCAACCGAATGAACCCCATATCTCTTTATTTCTTGGATTTAATACGATTGTTAAGTTTCTATTAGTATGTGGATTAGACAAGTACACCATCACGTACCCTCTTCATATAAGTATATTTTTTATCTCTTTCTCCATCTCTATATAACTCATTCGTATATATGTTTAGTAAATGTGAACATATACATACAAATTGAGAATAGTAGTTGATCGTGATATACTTAAGAAGAAGTATGGATACGGTGTACGGAATGAGATGATGAAAAAGAAATTATGAGTAGAGAAAACAACATATTCAAGGAGAATATATTGATGTATCGAAGTATCAACCTGACCAACCTGTATGGTTTGGGTTGAGGGTTGAAATTTTGCAAACCGCAAACATTGGGTTGGGATGTTCAAATGCCTTCAACCCGATCAACCCAACCCATGAACACCCATAGTGTCGATTAAGTTGCATTTTAACCCTAAATTGGTAATAATGCTTTCAATATAAGCATTAAAGATTGAAGCAGTGGATTTGAATATGGAAAATCTAATGTTGCTTAATTGTGATCAAAAGTGGTTGAATTCATCAACTTGTGGTTTCTAATTGATCTAATTTTGTTGTATTTTTAATGGCAGCTTCTTGTGGTGCTTGTTCCGATTGTGGGTTTTGGGGTTCTTGTCTGGTGGGCAGGAAAAGATATGGTTCAAAGCGAAGTAAGTTTGGCTCACTTTAAACCGAGCGAACTTTGTAGCTCTAAATTTAGTCATTATGAATATCAGCAGCTCTAAATTTATTCATTACGAATAATCAGCAGCTCTAAATCTATTCATTATGAATACTCAATGGGTCTGGCAAGAATGTTTTCTGTTGTCTAAGGCTTATAATGCATAAATTTCTTTTTCATTCCGTTGAAAGCTATTTCATGGTATAGACGCTTATGACCTCCCCCTCAATGCCTTGAGCATTTCTCTCCTGCATGTCCATGGAGTTCTGAAAAATTCGAACACCTAAGAGCATTGTGGTCAGTGGTCACATACGTTGTAAGTGTATATGTTCGGAAAACTAGCTGATAAGTTTCAGCTAGTTGATACACTAGCCATGTTTGGTAAAAACAACTGATAAATTAGACAATAATGTGAAATGACCTAGAAGGCTATGTTGACAAATCAATCGGATAAATGCAAGGGGATAATTGGAAACAAGTGGAAAAAGCCCCGGAGCTTATTGAAACACTACTTCAAGTAGCAAGTAGTGTTTCAATAAGCTAGTTTATGGTAAAGCAAACAAGACTTTTTCAATAAGCTCCAAAAAATAAGCTATCTTATGGTTGCCAAACATGGCTGAAGAGACCCCTCCTAAATCTTTTTGCCATTTTCACAAGTTGATTGAGCAATAGCTAAACTATCATCTGAATTTATGGGAACACACCAATCTTTAAAATCATATGTTTAAGCAAAATCACATATCCTAAATGACCAAACCAGATTAACCACTTGGGTTCTGGTGCACTGGTCAAGGCTCAAGGGTTCGAATCCAGGCGTTGCCAAAGCCCTTGTGGCCATGGAGGTTCACCTGCAATGATTCGATGCCATTCGTGGATACCTGGGGGATTAGTCGGTGCACGTAAGCTGGCCAAACCAGATTTTTGGTCACTCACTCAAGGGCGGTGTTTGTAGTTACTTGTTATGGGAATGAGGTGACCGTCTTCTGGTTTTTGTGCAGTGCCCGAATTGCAGAAATGAATTTCAGGTTCCTAAGTAAGAAATCCGGTCCGACTCTTATGTTTCTTGTTTCTGAAGCTTTTATGAAACCCTGTTTCTAACTTGGTCTTTATAACGTTTTTTGTAGATCGATATTAAATGATGAGCCACAGCAGTGTCCCTATTGTAGTCAACCTTTTTCAGGTAAAAAGACTCGAACTTTGTGCTTCTTTTTGGATGATACGATCCCATACTTACCATTTGGGTCTTCCTTCTATTCCAAAAGAATGCAACGTTCAACTTGATACATACATTAATAAAAGTCTTTTGATTAATGATCACACTACCACAAGATTGGTTTTAACGTCATATTATGTCTAAGGGCCTGTTTGTTAGCAGCTTAATGAGCTTAATGAGACTCACAACTTATTCGGTTAGCTATAGATGACTGTTTGCTAGTGGCTTAATAATATAGAAAATGGTTTATTCAGTAAGCTTTTAGGGGGAGCTTTATGCAGATAGCCAAGTTTTCCCAGACCTGTTCCTCCCAATTAAAAAACACGCTTCTTCCATCTATGAAAAAACCCTTCTAAACCCAAACCTTGCCAATTTATGTAGACAAATTAATCCACACAGACAAGTTTATCCATACAAAACTTAATAGAAAACCAACCAAACAGCCTCTAAATGTCCTAATAGATTGCTTAATTGAGTTTATAGGACCAAACAATTGTGAGTTGATAGAACCCTTTTGGGCATCCTAATAACTTTTTAGGACAAAAGCGTCCTATTAGTTTTTTATAACATTATTTAAAAAAGTGTCTTATAAAAAGATACTATCCTTCGTCCAAAGTAAATGTCCACAATGAAAAAGGGACACAGTTGTAGGGAATGCGTAATTATTACATTTCTATAGTTAACAAAGGACAATTTTACCCTTAATTATAGAGAATTTTTTTTCTCCATCTCGTAATTAAAGGTAGAATGGGAAAATATACATTATCTTTGAAAGTGGACACTTATTTTGGGACAAACTAAAACAATAATGTGGAAACTTATTTTGGGACGAAGGGAGTATGTTCATAGAAGTGTCATAAAAACTAACGTAACACTTTATTTCAAAAGTGCCCTAAAAAACTTGTTAGGATGCCCAAATGCATTCTAACATCTTATTATAATTGTGTGGTCCTATAAACTTAAGTAGTATAAAACAATCTATTAGGACATGGCATCCCTTAAAGCCGAATTTATTGTAGGGTCAAATGCCCAAAAGTTGTGAAAACATTTGGATCACATTCAATCTCACAATATATTGTTATGGTTCTAATAGGTAAATCTTATCGGTACTTGAAAAGCAAAAACATGCATATCAACCACAAGGGTGGTGCCTGATTGGTTTGAGCTTGACTCCAAAGGTCAAAAGTACCAGTAGGTCCCAGGTTCAAATCCAAGGAGGAATAAAAATCCCTTGTGGCCATGGAGGTTCAAATGCGGTGACTCCGGGCTATCTGCAAAGCAGGTGGTCGCCCTGAGATTAGTCGGCTCGCATAGCGGGTTGGATATCCAGGTTAATAAAAAAAAACATGCATATCCCCACACTGAAAGTTTTTCTAACGTTTTAGCCGATTTAAATGTGAAGATAGGTTCAAAATTCATTTACTTGCTGGTTGCATTCTTTTTTCTGTACCCATTGTTGGACAACTGTTATGTAATCCATTTTCTTGACGTGATCTTTGTGGGTATTCTATTGATGGATCGTTTCTTATAACTGAATTTTATGTTGGATCTCAGTGGTGGGTGACGAGTTTGTAAGGGATCCCATGAAATACTCCAACCAATCTACGACGTTTGGTGAAGCATTCAATGACTTATCTTCTCGGTCAAAAAAAGGTACTTCTTTTAGTGTTGATACTGCTTTTAAGCCTTGCTATGTTCATAGACCAATACTTCTATGATGGTTTTTACTTGTTGATTGTGTTTTATGTGGCCTTCTCTATATATCATTGCTAGTAGAGATGCAAAAAAAAAAACAATCCCAGGCCTGGCCCGTGTGCCTGAAAAAGCCCGGTCCTAGTGAGCCTGAATCCCAATCTGGGCCCGACCCAAAAATCCCAATCGGGCTCTTTTTTCAACCCCAAAGCTCGGACGTGTCCTTGTCTTCTGCTCACTGAAAATGGGTTCGGAAGGCTTGGGCACAAATTTTGTACTCAAAGTGATTAGAACAAAACAGAGCTTGTTGCCAGTCAGGAATGAAGGATCTCTATCTTACTAGCAGTAGTGCTTTTTTCTATCTGAGCTTCCCTTTGCCCAAAAAGCCCGGGCTTTGGAGATTCAGATATGCTGAAAATGGACAAATGAGTGTTAGAATGGAAGGTATTGGTGCTGTCAAAAATCAACTTAAACATATTGAAAAGATTAACGAATTACTGGTTAAATTCTTGTGTTATACTCCTTCCGTCCCAAAAACAACTGTTAACATTTCTGTTTTAGTTTAGCGGGTCAACTTCCAAAAGTAAGGGCCCGTTTGGTTTGTAGGATTTGGAATTGGATTCCATTCCAATCCCGCGTTTGGTTTGTAGGATTTGGAATTGGATTCCATTCCAATCCCGTGTTTGGTTTAAAGGAAAGTCCGGAATTGAAATCCCATGGAAGTAGTTGGTATTTCATAGGATTTGTTTGTAATAATGTTTTAAAATATGTGAAGAACATTCTTTAAGGCATTGTAACCGATGTGAAAGAATCAACGTTCATGTAGAAAAGTACTGTACAGACGATAAGCCGAGTTTATATGTTATTTAAGATTTCAACTTATCGATAGCGCTTGATTTCTGCAGGGAAGGCTTCATCTCGAGCCATTATTGATATTGAAGCCGAGGTTACAGATGTCGACTGAGGTGATATCGACCCTACTCGTAGAAATTCTAATGAATATATGTATCATAACGCTTCTTTTTGTTAAGTCGTCGATGTATAGAATTGCATACTTTTGTCTCGAAACAACATGAGATCATTTGCCATCCATAAGTAGTTGCTGGAACATAAGTAGATATGTTAGTTTACGCACAACATTTGGTGCGTATATTGGTTGTAGAGATACGGGAGTTCCTTCATGCCGAAAAGGGGGTCGTTGAACTTTGACGGAACTTATTTTGTCTAGTTAGACGGGCTCGAGGAGAAGTCTTTAGGTTCCGTAATTCATTCCGAGACCAACAGAAAGCTGAAAATGCTGAAGGGAATTGAATCAGATATGTGGGACCCTATCATATTACTTTTCAAAAGAATTATTCATGATAGGACGGATGTTCCAACATACAGTGAATATAATAGATCACAAGTCTAGTCAACTTATTAAAGCTCAATTTTTGAATTTGTGTAACTAATTGCAGATAAACATAATAAAATATAGAATAAATATCTCATTTTGAATATAAAAAATCTAAAATATATTTAGGACAATCATTGAGTTTTAAAATAGTCATTATCTTTATAAAAATTTATAGTTAAACCAAAAATAAATTAATTCACTACTTGACCTAAATTAAATTATATAATAAAAAAATTGAATTAAAGAAATTGTACAAAATAACGAGAACTTTTAAATAGTTAGTTAGATAACAATATCAACATATTTTTTCAAAATTTTATGATGTATTCAAATTTATTTTTATTTAAAAGAAAAAATATTATCTTTTTCAAAACCTCATAAATTGTATAACATCAACAGAAACAAAAAATAAAACCAAACAATTAAATAAAGATGTATTTTGCTGCATTACATGTATACCCTTCTACTATTGAATAAACTTCCCCTTTTGTTTTCTTTTAGTTACTTGCCATAACACGCCCATTCTGGTTATAGATGTGAAATGTGACCCAACGGATAAAAATGAGATGCTTATAAAATTGGAAATTTTATGTGGAGCTCTTTTAACTTTGTTGTATCACCAGATGCATTCCCACATCGGAATGTGATGGCAAATATGCGGAAAGAGATGGTATAAGTAAGTCCCTCGGCCTCCTTCAATAATCACGCAGCCATGCAATGAACACAAAGCGAACTATTCTTTCGCCTTTTACTAAAGAATACCGTGTGTTCGTTGTATAAAGTGGCATATGCTTATTTTTGAAGAGATGTTCATTTTCATGAATGTTTCCTACAATTTGCAGTTTAAATTGCAGTTTAAAGAATCTTTGGTAAAGAAGTATGTGAGTTTATTTGTTGTATTTGTCGTATGTAAATATTATATATTGGAGAGTGATTGAGTGTGAAGCAATGTCAAACCAAAATACCCAACAAGCATTAGCTCTCCTTGAAAAGAAGGTGATCCAGCCGTACTGGAAGGTGCGGCTACCTTGTTACGACTTCACTCCAGTCACTAGCCCTGCCTTCGGCATCCCCCTCCTTGCGGTTAAGGTAACGACTTCTGGCATGGCCAGCTCCCATAGTGTGACGGGCGGTGTGTACAAGGCCCGGGAACAGATTCACCGCCGTATGGCTGACCGGCGATTACTAGCGATTCCGGCTTCATGCAGGCGAGTTGCAGCCTGTAATCCGAACCGAGGGAGAGTGATTGAGACTTGTCCATTAGGAGGTTTCTTTGTGGAGGATAAAGATCTTTAATATTATTATTAATTATATTATCAAAGTATTAAATATACTAGTATTTAAGGATATCTTTCTGATAATTGATAATTTTTAATATTGAGTTGTGTTTCGAACACGAAAATCAGTTGTTTTGTTTGAATTTGAGAAAGATAACAGATGAATGATAGTAGATAAACATGAATACATGGACGGAAACAAAGGACGAACAGTGAAATTTGATTGTTCTTCTATACAGTAATCAGTCAAAAAATAAAACAGTCTTTTTTAGGTTGAAAAAGATTTCTCTCTTCATTTTAAAGATTATTAGTGGGAAAAAAAGGGTTGAAAAGAACTAAGATTTTGTTAAGGAAGCTTCCATTTTATCCCACATTGATGTTACAATGAAACATGTAGCCATGTTTAATCCTATTTAAGAAGGTTGTTGTACAACTAAAAACTCACTTACCTGGATGGGATGAATGGGTGATCAATAAAGCTCATGGTCTAGGTTTGTGACCTTCATTGCACTTTGGAGGGGTGCTTGCCTAAGGTCGGCCCAAGTGGTCGAACCTACATCATAATTTGTGACAGCGGGGGCCTGCGTTCGCGCGGCCCCTATCCAATTTTAGCTCTTTAAATGTTATTTCATTTTTTTTAATTTATAATATGAAGGTTGGTTTTTTTTATGGTTTAGTGGTTGTTTGTTTATATCTTAATAGTTATATTAAGAGGGGAATTTTTGTTTGACAAAAAATGTCTCTTAATTGTTTTAAAACTCTCTAAATGATTTTGTATCGTGAATTTTCCTTGATCATTCAGCGCCCGAAGACAATTAAATTTTATTTTGCATTATATCACAAGAGTCTCTTAATCATTCTGCACCAAAGCATTCAACAACTGTCAAACAACCCTTTAGTCTATTTAGATGTGAACGCCGATCCAACGAATCTACAATAAAGGTGAATGTGTGTAAGTTACGTTTGCAATAGATAAATATTATATACTTAAAAATCATTTGCCGAAGCATTTAGCAACGTATCCTCTCGGTCAAAGAAAGGTACATCATGTGGTGCATATATTGCTTTTTATCCTTGGCTTAGTTCATAGACTGATACTTTGTTTCGGACTCTCGAAACAACATGAGATTGATTGTCATCCTTCAATAGTTGCGAGAACCTAAACAAAGATATCAGCTTACGTACAATATGACGTGCGCTTGTCATTTGTACAAATATGGTATTTTTTTCATGCTCGAGAGAGGGTGATTGTTAACGAACTTTGACAGACTTATTTTCTCCACATAGATAAGCTCGGTAAACCAGAAGGGAAGTCTACAGTTTTCTTAATTCAAATACATTCTTTAGATTCTAACTCTGTATGAGATGCTTTGAGTCCGTTTGATTTGTATAAAATAACCCATTTTTATTACTGAGAATGAATAAAAATATCAGGCCTCTCTCATCAGATCAAGTTTTTGAGAGTTCTTTAAATTTGAAGTTTTATCTTGTTTTTTTATTTTAAAAACAATATAAATAATCTGTTGAAGCAAAATTAAGAATAAAATCTCTTTTGTTTCTATTTCAGTGAATCTGTTGGAAATGATATTGAGTTATTAGTGATGTCAGGGCCGTCCCAATCTTTTTATAGGTTTTTTTAGGCCCACAGTAGAAATGTAGATCATCCTATGCTATTATAGCGGTGAAAATACAAAATTGCGGTCGAGACCGATATTTGAAATAGCGGTTATAGCGGCAGTATATCGGTTTAAAAATAGCAGTTCATATTTCTTAGAATTATATAATATGCCTATATAAACATATCATTTGTAAAATAAGAAATGTTCATAAACGAGATAATCGCAAGCAATAGAGAAACCTAATTCTTCCAACTTATGTTAATGGATTAAACTTAAGAAAAATAAAGCCCAAAAAAAGAAAGACCGGAATAATGCCCAACTATCTAAAAACAGAGACTGAAAATAAAGCTCATCGTCCCCCCCCCCCCCCAAAAAAAAACAAAAAAAGTAGCATTAATATCTAACACAATTGACCCTAAATATCGGTCAAAATTGCGGTAAATTGCACCGATAATTGCGCTACCGCAATTTAAACTGCAATCTGACCACCCTTATTTTGCTAATGTTCGCTATCCGAGATATCGCCACAATTAACTGCATAGAAATCATCTTAAATGAATAATAAACGATATAAAATTTAATATCATATTAAAAACCTTGTAAATTAAAACAAACAAAATATTTAAAATGACAAAGTGAGAAGAATATCAAAAAGTCGGTTTTGTTTTGATCGACAGATTTTGAAATTAAATAGTTGCATCTGATTTTGAAAGAAATTAGATAGATCTTTATTGAGGTGGCCTATATAAATCCGAGCCTCAAGTGCGAGTAAAATTGGTCCCAAATTCTTGGGATCCTTGTTCAGAACCAAGATTTAGGGGTCGTTCACCCAATGTTTACCTAGTATGTGCTTACCGGTAAAATTCAACACAATCAATTATTTACCCGGTAAGATTTTAGTCCATCAAAACCGTATCGTATGGAACAATTTACCCGGTAAACGCTAACAGTGGTAAAAATCGTCACCCTAACTTACCGGGTAAGACTCTCGGTACTTGCTTTCGCTCTTACCGGGTAAGATTCTTGGTTCTTACCATATTCATCCGATAAAATAATTTGACTTGGTAAAGTTTACCCGGGTAAGATTTTGGTAAGCGTTTATCATATAAGAGTCATGACTCTCACTTATCGGGTAAGGCTCTCGGTCCTTGACATTGTTTTTATCGGGTAAGATTCTCAATCTTCGTCATGTTCATCTGTTTAGTAAATAGGCTTTAAGATGCTAATAGACGGCTCTAAATACTGCTTAAAATAAATTACATATATAAAATAAAAATTATATTTATGGGTGTGAAATGAAGTAAAAAAAAAACTTAGAAATTATGTGGAGTCTTTTTTAAACTCTTCAAAGGGCAGAGTAGCAAACCAGCACAGATTGAGATTGGGACTTGTGGTGAGTCCCATATCGGAACGTGAAGGCAAATATGGAGGTCAAAGCAGTTGAATAAAGAAGGCCCTCAGCTTATTGGAAGAATCACGCAGCCATGCAATGAGCACAAAGCGAACTATTCTTTCGCCTTTTACTAAAGAATACCGTGTGTTCGTTGTATAAAGTGGCATACGCTTATTTTTGGAGAGGTGTTCATTTTTATGAATGCCTCTAAAATTGATAGTTTAAATTATAATATTTAGAGGGTGTTTGATATTGCTTATGATGATGTTGTATTGGTAATGAGCATTTTTATGTGTTTGGATAAAGGTTGATATAACATAATAAAGGCTGGAATAATAGCGGAAGGGTAGCGGATATATTTGAAATCGATTAATACGTTGTTTGAATTTATGGATCGATATTTTGAGTGTTGGAAGCAAAGATTGACTAAAGAAAATTTTGACAATTCTTCTGCACAACAATGGGCTAGAAAGATTTATGGGTTGTTTGTTTTTTTCAAAATTACCTCTTAATATATCTGAAGTCTGATTCGTTCAGATGTTTGGGTATTAATAATGTTTGTTTTATTTTCTAAAACAAGAGCTTAAAAGCTCTAAATGTCATCTGAAATTTGAAGTGGTAAACGTATCCCTTAATACCTTTTAATCCTAATTTACCCTCTACCAAATGGTTCATATTTTGGGGGCTGTAAAAGATTTGTTAGTATTTAAGGACCCATCCGATAAATGATAATCTTTAATATTGAGTTGTGTTTCGAACTGAAAAATCAGTTGTTTTGTTTGATTTTGAGAAAGATAACAGACGAAGGATAGCAGGTGAATAGATAAACATGAATACATGATCTAATTCCATGGATGGAAACAAAGGATAAACAGAGAAATTTGATTATTCTTCTGTATAGTAATCAGTCGAAAAATACAACAATCTTTTTTTAAGTTGAAAACGATTTTTCTCTCTTCATTTTGAAGATTTTGTTAGCGGAAAAAAAAAGGTCGAAAAAAACTAAATTTTGTTTGAGAAAGCTTCCATTTTGTCCCACATTGATGTCACAATGAAACATGTAGCCATGTTCAATCCTATTTAAGAAAGTTGTTGTACAACTGAAACCTCACTTACCTGGATGGGATCAATGGGTGATCAATGAGGCTCATGGTCTAGGTTTGTGACCTCCATTGCACTTTGGAGGGGTGCTTGCCTAAGGTCGGTCCAAGTGATCGAGCCTACATCATAATTTGTGACAGTGGGGGCCTGCGTTCGCGCGGCCCCTATCCAATTTTAGCTCTGTAAATGTGTTTTTATTTCTTCTAAATTAGATTCGTTCATAAAAATTACAAGTAAAAGAACTTAGAAATTATGGAGTCTGTTTTGAACCCTTCAAAGGGCAGAGAGTAGCACACCGGTACAAATGAAGTTTGTGACTTGTGTGGTGAATCCCACATCGGATGGTTAAGGCAAATGTGGAGTCTGTTTTGAACCCTTCAAAGGGCAGAGAGTAGCACACCGGCACAGATGGAGCTTGTGACTTATGTGGTGAATCCCACATCGGATGGTGAAGGCAAATGTGGAGGTCAAAGCAGTTGAATAAAGAAGGGCCTCAGCTTAATGGTATAATCACGCAGCCATGCAATGARCACAAAGCGAACTATTCTTTCGCCTTTTACTAAAGAATACCGTGTGTTCGTTGTATAAAGTGGCATACGCTTATTTTTGGAGAGGTGTTCATTTTTATGAATGCCTCCTACAATTTAAAGTTCAAATTCTAATACTTGGTAAAGGGTATTATTAGGTTTTGAGGTTGAAAAAGAGTATATTTGTTTTAATAAGTTTTTTTAGGCTTAATCGGATTTTTTTAGATCAGTAAAAAGAATTAAATCAATAACAAGACATCGTACATACTATTAAAAGAATTAAATCAATAACAAGACATCGTACATACTATTAAAGGTTTTTTTAAAAATATAACAGTGTTCAACGGCGTCCAACAATGCTCGATCTAATTATTTCAATATACCCGTGTTAAGGGAATAAATTGTTTCAATATACCCGTGTTGAGGGAATAAGGAGGCATAATGTCTTTGGTTGAGGCTGTACACACAAACACATATTTATATATACGGGCTCGTATAAGGGATAATTAATTAGTTTGTGGTAACCGTAAGATCTAATGTGAATGACTCGTTTGATACATGTAAATATATTTCTTAAATAAGCTAAAATGGTATTTTTGACAACTAATCAAAATATTTAATTAAACTTTTTAGAAGGAAAATTTAATTACCCAGTATATCAATTACCTAATATAAATCGTATTTAAAGACATTTGTGAATTAAAGTGTATCATAGTGATAACGTTCACAATGTTTCACGTGTATCATAATGTATTTTGTTTGTTTTATTAAATGTATCATAATGTGCATTTTCTTTATTTTCATGTATATCTGGATATCACAGTGAATATTGTTTGTAGGTATCACAGTGTGTATCTTGTGTTCACATAAAGTTCATCAGAATAAGGCTCATTGAAATAAGGTTCGCCGGAGAGAGGCAAGATGAAAGATGAGAGAGGATATTTATAAAATCCCTAAAATGCCCTTAATTAATATTTTAAGTTAAAATTACCAAAATTATTAGTTTTCTAATTTAATCTTTGATTTGTGGTTAAAATTAGATCTCACGATTACCACAAATAAAACAGTTCTCATTTGATTAGGGGGGGGCGCACATGCGTGCGCGCGCATACACACACACACACACACACACACATATATATATATATATAATATAGAATTTTATCGAAATAATATACATTAGCGGTGGGTTGGCTGGGTTGGGTTGATTTTGGCTAACGCAATTTCAACCCTCCTAATTAGCCGATTTGTGGGTTGACGGTTTTGCATGGTGAGTTTAATTGAGTTGTTAGCAGTTTGGGTTTTGGAGGTTGACGGTTTTCTATACACCCCCATACTTAATGATATAAAAAGTGACTCATTCAGTAAGCTTCCAAGATGAAACTTTATGTAGAAAACCAAGTTTTTTCAAAACCTTTCTCTTCTAACCAAAAAACAAGCTTCTTCCATCTATCAAAAAACTATCCAAAACAAAAAAATTCTCAATTTATACATACAACTTAATCCACAATAACAATCATCAATACATGACATAGAAAACCAACCAAACAATCCATAAATAAACCGTATGAATTACGATTTTGGTCCTTGTAGTTTGGTGAGAATTACAAAATTCGTCCTTGATGTTTTTCACAAAACCAGAAGGACCAAAACCATAATTCTAATGTTTTCCTTCGTAAAAAAGGTAAATTGCTGCCGTAGATTTTTCATCAGCAGTAATAAGGTTCACTCGTGCAAGATGGTAGATACGCAGCTTCAATACCCAACTAGCAATTCTCTTCACACGCTCGCCCCAAAAACAGACGAAAAAGAACGACTAAATTATCAAAACCCCCATCCCATCTCTCTCCCTACGTCGTCTCCGGTGATCCAAATCTTCAGACGGAGAGATCTCAACGTCCACAGGAATCACTATTTTTTATTAGTTTTATCGGCAAATATGAACGAGAAGGCCGGCGTCTCCAAGGAGCTCAATGCTAGGCACAGAAAGGTCTCGTCTCCATCTTCTGTCACTTGATCTGTGGTTAATTTTGTATTATGTTGGTTTAATTCTTAATTTGATGATTGATTGTTTGATTTTTACAGTATTATTGAAAATATTTGATAGTTTTTAGTATTATTATTGATTTAAAATGAGCTGATCTGATTTCTGTAAACATTGAATACGTGTGGTGCTACAGTAGCATTGGAGTTATTGGAATTGTATGAAAGCTGTTGCCTTTGGTTATTCGATTTTTTGTTTGCAACTTTTATTAGGATTTTGACTAGTAGTTTCGGAGATCTGTATCTTCTTCAAGTGTAGCCTCAGATCATTTTTTTTCTTCGTAAAAGTAGTAGGTAAACAAGAACAGGATGGTTAGTATATTGGTTCATATCATGTGTAAGGGACACTAGATGACAGATTTATCTAAAATTAATTGTTAAAATTTTGTGATCGATGGTCATAATTCTAAACCTTTTTTGTAGTCCTCTAAATTTGTAGTATTTCCATTAATAGTCTCTTTTGATTGTTTAGCAGCCCATGCTTTTATTAACTAATGAGCTATAACTGTGAATCCTGGGATTAAGGCATCAATGAATGTAATAAGGGAACAGACCATGGATGATAAAAGATCATTTAATGATGTTGATTCAATTACTTAAACTACTTTCCATTCTCACATCCTGTCTGAGATATAGACTGTACTCTGTAAATTTGAAGGCGTGTTAGAGTGGGTAGGAATCTTGCAAGGGCTTGATACAATTATATTTCATACAAACTCCCTATCCCCCGACTTTGTATTGTTTCTCTTGGTTCATGTTTGTTCAAGGTGAATTTTCACTCGAAAACAGTGTAGTAAGTTGTCTTGAATCAAAAGAATGGGATTGTTACGACATAGATGGACTCCATTAATATTTAATGCTAATGCTACCAAAATGAGATAATTGGATGATGAATATAGAAACCATGGAAGACAAACCATCCTCATTGGTTGATTTGGTCATAAACATTCAGCATTGCAGGGTTAAAAGTTAAAAAAAGTGAACTCTCGTCTGCATATACAAACTTGCAATGTGAAAATAATAGAGTTCCCTTATTTTCCTCCAAAATGGCTTTCTATCATTAAGGTTGCATAAGTGTTTGGACCAGGTTTTTGTCATGACTCATGCTTTCTTTTTCATTCGTTCCCCCTGCTCTTTTCTGTCCTGCCACTCTTTAATACCTCCCATTCTCCATCTTCTGCACATTTTCATGCACCGAGACTTATTTTTGCTGCAAATCAACTGATATTATGTGATCCTTGTTTCCAGATACTAGAAGGACTTCTTAAACATCCGGAGAATAGGGAATGTGCTGATTGCAAAACCAAGTATGTGCTGCATTTATGACATTCATTAATCAAGGTGGCCTGCAATTTAGTTATTTCTGTACATCAACTGCTAATCCTGACCTTTCCATGGCAGAGGTCCTCGATGGGCTAGTGTGAATCTAGGCATCTTTATATGCATGCAATGTTCTGGAATCCACAGAAGCCTTGGGGTGCACATATCAAAGGTAATAATTTATTAGTGCAAAACCTTCATTTCCAATTAGTGTCGTATGTGGATGTGGCTGTAAAGAAAGCCCCCATCATTTCAAGAGTACATCTCACCCTCCCTAGACCCTATTCTACGTGGGACTCATTGCGTTTGTCTAGTTTGTTGTTGTGCTTGCATGCTAATTGGCCCTGTAAGGGACCTTGAAAAGCAAATGACATGGATCAGAACAGGTATGAAGAGCTAGGGTTTAACCATTTATGGACCAATCTAAGAAAAATGTAGGGTGTTGCATCTCTTTGGTACTTGAATTTGAGTGATATACTTCATCGGATGATTTTCTTGAAGTCTGGTATTGCCATTGTAGTTTCTATAGTCTCTCTCCATCTTTGTGTAGTGTCCTCGAGAACATGAAGGCATTGGGGAGGATAGTGGAACACAGGGAAAGTGGGACTGGGGCGGGGGGACGGGCTAGAGGGTGAAGAAGCACATGCAATTTGAATGGAAAGTTGATAGAATAAATTTTGTGTTTACAACAATGTTTTACAGTTTGTTTTAGAAATGCAACTAAGTTTAAGATAGTTAGATATCCAAGCCAAGGGTCAAAGAGAACCCACAGATTTAGAAAAAAGTTTCTGTTATCTTAGTAGGTAAATCTATCTGTCAGATCAATTGAAATTCAAATAAAGTCAAAGGGGAAACTTAATTTGTGTCTATATAATACACACACACAGAAGACTAGAGTGTATTGAATTATACCATTTCAAATTGTCATGAACCCAACTATCTAAATAACATATTGAATGAGACTATTCCCGTCAATTGCATATTTACGGATTAAAACGTATCATATACTCATACCATATCACGAGCCAATGCTACCCCAAAATAGATAATGCTGATTTTGCTTGGTCTGCATTCTTAGTGTTGAGGCATACAAGAAAGAAATTGGTATCAAATATACTACCTGTGTGTATGGCTCATGTTCAGATATACATAGACTTCACAGTTCACATCCAGATTCTCTCACTCAGCCTCAGTACAGAAAGTAGAGCATTCAAGAGTAATGACTACTGAATGGGGGTATAACATTCCGCATTAGAAGGTTATGAGGCATAATATGTGCCACATAAGGGTCGAAATTCTACAGGGTACATAGAAAAAGTTTCATATCGCATGTAGACTAATACACATCTACCAGGACTTGAACTTTAAGTCAAAGTGGTTGTTTGCATGTGTTCAGGCCAGCAGAAATTTTCTATTGGGTGGTACATTATGTAGCAACAGTCAAGAGTTATAGTGAGTGTGTACCTTGATACCAAATTATGATCGTAAGTGTTGCAGGTTGATTATTGCATTCCAATTGTGTACATTTATCATTTCCATTTCATCACAAGGAGTGGCCTTTACAAACAAAATTTCTTGTCTCATGACACCAATAAGAGTCTATGATATCACCAAGTATATTGCATTGCAAGTGGTTCATTTCATTTTTTATGTTGAGTTATCTAATTTGCTCAGTTTTTGAACGCCATCCATTTGTGATTACTAATATTAGGCCTTTGTGTTCTCCCTTCCTTAAGTATGTTCATTTGTTTAAGATCAAATCACCTGTTAACAGAAATACGAGTTTGTTCTTTTCATTATTTATTGGTGCATCCCTCCGCAGGTGAGATCAGCTACACTGGACACATGGCTTCCCGAGCAGGTTGCATTTATCCAGTGTAAGACCGATGTTCCTCCTATTTCTTGAGTTCGTGAATGTGTTTGATGAAGATTTAAAACTAAATAAGTGGAAGGAGTTATAATTATGTCTTATGGATTGACGTTCTCTTTGTGCTCAGCTATGGGAAATGAGAAGTCAAATAGTTATTGGGAAGCAGAGCTGCCACCAAATTATGATAGAGTTGGCATTGAAAATTTCATACGGGCAAAGTATGTACCTTCTAGTACTTACAAGAACCGTTGCCTTTGATGTAATACGATGCTTCTTTTTCTTCATTCTCTTCATTTTTTATACTCCTATGTTTATAGGTATGAGGACAAAAGATGGGTTGCTAAGGATGGAAGACCAATTTCACCTCCTGCCGTGCAAGAAGAAAAAGGCGCCGTGCAGTGGCAAAGACCTGTTGAGAAAACTGGAGGCACCGGCTACTCTGAGAGTCCTGCTGGTGAAAAGAAGAGCTATCAAGCACATACTACAAAGAGCAGCACCCCTGGTGCAAGAATCAGTCTTCGTGTGCCACCAAAAGGACCTGAACCTGTATGTCAAGTTGTTAACTTGTTATTGTTTAACTACTGCCCGGCATACTGTTCTATCTAAATAGCATTGCTTGTCACATAACTTGCAGTTGGGGGGTGAGGGAAAGTGCTTATCTATGGTTAGCTAAGTTATGAACTATATCTGCTTACAAATTATAGTGTTTCGTTCTAGATGCTATAAAATCGATGCTGGCTGAACTTAGATTCAAGGCCTAGGCAAGAATGTACTTCTAGGGAATAAATTGACCACAAGGACATGACTTAAAGCTCATTTGTTTGAATTATTTGTTTGTCTTTCAAGAAGTAGCATTTCAGGTGATGTAATGTGCAAACTTCATACCATCTGATCATATATTATATCATCATATTGAGATGCTGGAGGTGGGAAGTATCCACATAATCTGGAACAAGTTAAGACTACCCAAGCAGCCACCGCTGTTGTGATTTGATGTTCAATACAAGCCTATGGGTGTGAATGAACTATGAAGTGAACATTTATTTTTGTGTTTATTCAGAAGTGAAAGGTTTAGTGTTAAGATATATGTAAGCAGAGGCGGAACCACTACTTAGGAAAAAATCGGGGGGAAGGACAAAAGAAAGGGGTGCCGATCCTGCACCACACACCCAGTTGAAGTCAAAGTAATGTAATAACCAAGATCTGTTACTGTTCCACTTGTCACAGAGTTTAGACTGACTCCATGGAAACCAGAATTTTTTTTAAGTGGTGGCAAAATTTAACTATAAAAAAGTAGCTAAAGAGAAATTTCACAATATTAGTATAGCTTTGTTTGTTGGTTCTTTGTCCCTCCATAGAAGAGACCCATGTTCGAGTCTGCCTACACATCTTTTTAAAAACACAAGAGGTATATAAAAAAACACCAAAATTTAAGCTAAAATATTAACAAATTTGACACCGGTGAGACTTGAACCTGGGCCTTTTCTGCAAGGGTAGCATTATTAACCATCTTCGCCATCAAAGTCTTGTGCTTAAATTTTAGTTTCAAAAACTATATGGTGGCACCCAACAAAATAATACGGTGGCACCCTTCTGAAACGTACCTTTTTTCCTTTACGATAGAGCCATGAAGTGGTGGCCCGTGCCACTGTATCAATCAATGTAGGTACACCCCTGTATGTAAGTAGGAAACTGTTATACCATCTTAAATGTCCATAGAACCTTCAATAGTTAATTTCAGATTTCTTATTTGAAGTATGATGTTTATGACATGCTTCTGTGACATCAATGGAGTTTTACACTTCTTTTTGCTATATGAACTGTGCTTGGTGGGGTTGGTTTGGATCTACTGAATGAACTAAAAGGTTTCCTGTACGATCAATCCTATGGGATTCATGTAGGTGTTTGCCATCTCTTCTACATTAGGCAAGTTATTAAATATGTTGGGATCATTATGTGTTTGTTATTCCTTCTATATTAAGCAATTTTGTTAATATATTTCGACTCAACAGGTGATACAGAAAGCTGAGCCAGCAATTCCTTCTGCTGAATTGGTAAAGGAGGTTGCTGAAACTGTCTCTCCTCCTAAAGTTGATTTTGCAACTGATCTTTTTGACATGCTTTCAATGGACGATGGTCCTACTGAGAAAGGTCAAGAAGCAGCTTCTACGGATGATAATCTATGGGCAGGATTCCAATGTATGTCTTTCGTTTCCTTAGATGTACTTAAGCGAGTTCTCGTGAGTAGTAACAGTTCTCTGTTGTCGTTATTATGACTCCCTTTTGTCCAGAGTGAGGGGCCGTTTACCAAACTCTTACCGAGTAAGCCTTTACCGACAAGAGAATTCACCCTCAATTACCTTAGCGGGTAACATTTTCGACCATCAAAATGGATGGTAAGCATCTTAAACTGGGTAAAAGCTTACCGGGTAAGAGACTTTTCCCTCACTTACTGTAAGACTCTCGGTCATTGATATGCTTTTTACTCGGTAAGATTATTGGTCCTTACCATTCTCAATCGTTAAGATAAGTGATATCGGTAAGCACTTACCTGATAAGTGTTTGGTAAAGGGCCCTTGATTGTCCTTGTTGGATATGAGCATGACATTTAATATTCTTGGGCCGTATATAACTTAATATAGATTTACCAAATGCCAATAATCATCAATTAACATATCCTAAAAATGTTGGTGTCTCACCTTTCTTGTCGCATATGTGGGGTAGTTTAAGAACCGTGGCATGATATCATTCCTATTGAAGGAAAAGAACACAAATAATGTGGGACAACCTAAATAAAAAGGAAATATAGCTTGATCTGGGATGGAGAGATTATTATATGGTCAGTTAGGGGGTGTGGGGATGGTTCCACTTTATTACTCCCTTCGTCCCAAAATAATGTCCACAAAGAAAAAGGCACAAAGTTTTAGAATGTGTAACTATTACACTTTTTAATTAACTAAATGGCAATTTTGCCCTTCATAGATAATAACAGAGAGTAATGAATTTCGCCATTTCATAAATAAGGGTAGAATTGGAAGGTAGGCATTTACTTTCGTAAAGTGGGCACTTATTTTGGGAAAACTAGAATAGAAATGTGGACATTTGTTTTTGGGACGGAGAGAGTATTATTTAACACCCTGTTTTCAGAATTTTGGCTTACAGATGTTTATAATGTTGAAATGAACCATGCTGACTTTCATCGTATTGTATTTATAGCCGCTGTAGAAGTATCAAGCACCGGCACAACAGACCTTACAAAACCTGTTGATAACAAGGCCAAGCCCACTTCTGGAATAGAAGATCTATTCAAAGATCCGCCTCTTTTCTCACAACCTAATGCATCAGAAAAGCCTCAGAAGGATGTTAAAAATGATATAATGAGCCTCTTTGAGAAGGTATAGTTTATAGAATGGATGACTTGTCTAGTTCCGATTATTATGTACGGCAAATACTTACGCATACTCCTCACATTTGGTGAGGTTTGAACCCTTGACCTTTTGGGAGGGTGGGCTTTACCGTTAACCTGGATTCCGCTGGGCAAATGACCTTATGGTTTCTATCACTATTTGCCATCAACATAACCATGGAGAATAAACGGGCAGACTAGATCACTATTTACCATCAATAGGATCTGGCCTGCCTGTTTATTCTCCATGATCTAGTTATGCCTGTAAGGGTTGGTACACTGGTCAGAATAGAACATGGATCACTGTTCCATGTTTGACCGGACTTTTATGTGGAACAGACAGGAACATAGCGTGTTCGACCCCCACCCCATAGAACAAGGTGGAATAGACCTATATGTTACCAATATAACATCAAAATAAAACCTAATTCTCTTTTAAAATATCAAATACACCTCCCTCTTTACATTTTATTCATTCTTTAAATTTTATTTATCATATTTTATGCTCTTTAAACTTTCATTTTACTATCCTTAAACTATTATTTTTATATGGTTTCTATATTTTAATTAATTTATGTAATTTATTAAATATCAATAATAAGAAAATAATATAGAAAAGGTATAAAATAAAAATTGGAAACTACATGAACCTTTTATTTTGGTGTCAATTTAATTGTCTTAGACGAAAACTTTTTAATGATATATTTTGTTATAAAAAATATTTATTTTATTATAATTGAATGAATTGCATAAATTAATCAAAGTATATAAATAATTCATTAGGTGTAAATTGGTCATTTTATCTGTTCTACCCTGTTGAGTTATGTCTTACCAAACACTGAACAATTGTTCTGTTCTGTCCTGCCTGGGTACCAAACGCACCCTAACCGAACATATTAGCATATTTTTTTTATTTCAAGATACACTTGTTCTTTTTTCGGGTAACCACCATGGATGAGAACTGATTTTAGAATCCCTTTTGTATGGTAACAGGGTAATAATACATCACCATATGCTCTTCATCAGCAGCAACTTGCTATGCTAGCTCAACAGCAGTACCTACTTATGGCTGCTGCAGCTAAATCAGGTGGTTTGCCAAAGTTTGCTGGGAATGGGCAACAACAGCAGGTATCTGGTGGTACAAATTCGTCCAATCAAAACTGGACAAATGTTGGCTATCAATTCCCTGGAATGCAAATGCCAGCTCCTGGAAAAGATGAACTGGAGAAATATTTACAGCAGGTATAAAAGTTATTTACAGTGTTTTGGGTTTATGGTTGCTGGAGTCATATTGCTGCCTTTTTATGAATATTTTTTTTATATAATTATTAATTACAAAAAGAATAGTTGAAGAAAAGAGAGTTTGCTTGGGCTCTCACCATATTACTTTACATGCTTGAACTAGATGGGAAACATGGGAGCCGCAAATCCAGCTGGGAATTCATTTCAGGTTCCAACATCCAGGTATAATTATATCTTGCGTGTCTTTTCGTCTATGTTTTAACTGGCACATGTAAAAGCGAAAAACCATTAGGACTCGTTTGGTTTGTGGGATTTGGAATTGGATCCTGTTCCAATCCTGCGTTTGGTTTAAAGAAGAGCCCGGAATTGAAATCACCGGGTTTCAATGAAATCCCACGAACATGGGATTTAGAAATCCCATGGGGATAGTTTGTATTTCATGGACTTTCATAGGATTTGTTGTATTAAAATGTGTTAAAAACACTTGTTTGTAAAAATCAATTAATGAAAAGGTAATATAGTATTTTATAACTTGTCTTTATGAATTATTTATAAAAAATGAAATTCAATTCCATTCCATATCCTACATACCAAACACACCAAAGATTTCAAATCCTTCCATGAAATCCGCATCCCTCAAAAACATCACGTCAAATCAAACAGGCACTAATGCTTTAGGACAGATGCATTCAGGTAATCATGGTTTGGGAAAGCATTCGGAAATTGGTAGAAAGCTTTGGGCCATGTTTGCCACACTAGCTTAGTTTTTTAGCTTATTGAAGAAGTCTCGTTCAGTTAGCTATAAGCTAGCTTTAATAAACTCCGCACTAGGAGGAGGGGGGGGGTTCCCACTTCTTTCCAATTATGCCCCTTTAGTTTTTCCAAGTAAATTTTCAACATATTTTTTACGTTATTTTACATTATCATCTAACTTATAAGCTAGTTTTTACCAAACATGACCAGTTGACCATATTATCTAGCGATACTTCTCTTGTTCCCGACTGATAAGAATCGTGAACGCATTTACATACCATCACTTTATAGTTGAAATCTCGACACTAATCAGCTTATTTTTTCTTATAGCATTTACGCCGTAAATGCCACTACCAACGGCACGGCATTTCCTGGGGCATCAATACCTGGAATTATGGGACAAAATCCATCCTTCAACAACATGGGGCCATCCGGCGCATCTAAACCACAAGCGGCTTCTCCGTTATCATCTACACCCGCTTCCCAATCCGCCAAAGACTACGATTTCTCCTCGTTAACTCAAGGCATGTTCTCAAAACCATGATCTTTTTCGTGCAATAGTTATAGTGTATCATAAAAACAGTAATTCATAAAGAACCGAAAGAAACTATTTTTCCTTTTATCGGGGATTGTAAACTATTTGTAGAGGATGCAATTTTCAGCTTTAATTTCCTTTCATCTGTTTCACTCCTACATTACCATTTACCACCAAGGATGGTCTCTTTCGTCTAAACTCCGCGTGTTGTTTCCGGTTTTAAATCCTCCTTATATATCTTAATCGTGTCTTATGTTTTTGTGAACGAATTGTGAAATGAAAAGATTATGCGCCGGAATGAATTTGGTTATATGAACGAGAATGAATTTGGTTATGTTTGGCAAACTAGCTGGTAGGGTAGTTGTTAGCTAATAAGGTAGTTGATGAACTAGTCGTGTTTGGTAACAAGTAGCTAATAAATGAACTAAAAGTAGGCATGGTTAGGGATGAGATAGGTAACAGACCGGTACCGAAATGGTTGGTACGGAATTTTTATAGGACTGAACTGAACCGTATGTACAAATTCAGTACCGGTTCGGTTTTGGTTCCGGGACGGGAAAATCGGTACTAGGACCACTTAGGACCGAAATAACTTGTGGTATGTAAAACTTGCTTGAGTTTCATTCATGGAGGTGCAAATTTTGTTGATGGTGATAGTGGGTCGATTTTTTGAGGTGTTCGAAAGTCAAAATAATAGGGCTGATTTTTGAATGATTGATGGTGATAAGGCTGATTTGATCAAAGTAATAGTTATGAAGAAGGTTTTAGGAGAAGATGTGGATTTGTTTAGGAGAAGATAGAGATGGAATACCAAAAGTCAAGTGACCCCTTAAATTTTCGTTCGGTTATGTTTTTTTTCTGGGAAAATCTTGGTACCCATACCGAATACCGAATTTGTAGTAATAGTGGAACCAATAACCGAACCGATAACATGCATTCAGTTCCGGTTCGGTTCGGGAATACGGTCCTCGAGTCTCATCCCTAGTGATTTGCTCCTACTCGTTGGGAAGCTGGTTCACCTGTCCTGTTCGGGGAAGGTGATTTTCTGTAAAAACGGGTACCGGCTGCGGGCCAGTGATGTATTCCTTAACCCGCCCTTTCCCCATATGTATAATATACTAATTTAAGTATTATATATATATATATATAGAGAGAGAGAGAGAGAGAACTGGGATCATGTGAGACTAGGATATTTTTGTGAGACTTATAAGACCACTTAAATAATACTAACCTTTACAGGAAAATACCGTGAAAGAAACATTCACAGTGTTTTTGCTGTGAAGGTTCGGGGTTCTCTTTACCTTCACAATTTTTGTTGTAAAGATTCAGTGTTATTTTGTAGTCTGAGTCTCATGAAAATAAGTTGGTCTCACATGTATCTAATCCATGTAGGTGGAGGTTCAAACGTGAACACCTCCATTTTACAAAAACACGAGAACGTCAGGGGACCTGATGATGTGTAGACGATTTGGCTCGTGACCTAGGTCATGCCAAAGGCTTTTTGCGTCTCTGATTTAGTATCACATATAATGGATTATAGCATCACATTAAAGACATAATTGGGAAAAAAAATCGAAACTTATTGAAATGATACCAGTAGTAATCAAACTTATAAGTTGACTTATGACTAACAAAACACTTTTTTTCTTTAAATAGATTCGAAAAATAAATCATCTAATCTATACTATCTTATAACGCATTTGGCTAAAACTTTTAAAACTCTTAAAAACTTTTAAACCCGTTCATCCCTAAACGATTTCATC